ATTTCATATGCATTTAGATTGAGAGGTGATCTCCATAGGGGGTATCCTATTGAGTGTGGATCACCCTTTATGAGAATATATTTCAGGTGTTGAACAGACTTCCGCTGATGGCCTTCACTTGGCCCCGTGTTGAATACAATGCCAGGATGTGGCTCTTGAATTACATTTTACAGTAGTCCCATGTATATATTTACGTTAGACCTCGTATAATTTATGTACAAAACTTGTATTTTGACAAAAACATGTAATAGAACTCTCATAGATAATATTATTTTGTAAACGAATGAACGTCATGAATATTGATATTCAATGTTGTTTTGATTGAACGTTGATGTTGGGACCCAGTTTGATCAATGACTAGGATTGCACAGGGTGTGTGTGTGTTGAGTAGAGCTTCCTGTACAAGGGAGACTTTACCCAAATGTTTAAGTTATGGACATCGGTGAATGGGAAACTACTATGTGTTATTGAGTTAAGCGGTATAACAGATTATTTCACAGGTTGATGGGTGATCAATGAATTAATCGGAGACCCCCATAAATTGGAGCGTCACTGCTATATTAATTAAACCAAAATTAAACACTAATAATTCCTAAATTTTAAGAGTTTGACTAATATTAAAATTCTCTTTCTCTCATACCTATCTATATCCATATATAGATTAGGACTAGCTCTCTCTCATAATATATTTATTAACATTCAAAACAAAATATAGTAACATTCAAATATAAAAAATAGTAACATTCAAAAATAATAAACAACAGTAACATTCAAAAACAAAAAACAATAGTAACATTAAAAAAAATATTAACATTAAATATTAATATTTAAGAAAATAACAGTAGCAATATGCTCAACAAAATAATAGCATGCTCAAAAAAAAAAAATAGTGACATGGTCAAAAACTATTAACATGGAACATTCAAACTCAAAAAAAGTAATATTTTAAAAAATTAGTAACATATAATAAGTACCAATAATTCAATCATGAGTAGTTGCCAAATTAATTACCTTTCAAGCCTTGCTAGTGCAAAAAACATCATCAAAATCAATAGATTCACCATATGGGTACAGTCAACAAAAATCACAACCCAAATTCACAATATAATTCCATCCAAAAACAAAAAACACAATAATTTGAAAGTTTTGAATCATAAACAAATCTAAGTCACTCTATCCTTGCTTCTTCATCTTCATCAAGTCTTGGCAAGACCTTCAAAAGGGTGACTGTAACAACGGTGAGAGATGGTGAGCGAAGCAATTGCAATGTGGTACGGCTGCATTGCTTCCACACACACATACACACTCATTTTAACTGAACACTTGAGGATTTGAGATGAGATAAGATTTTTGATTTTGATGCAAAAGGCAGAACAAGAGGATTTGAGATGATACAAAAATTTGTCCACAATGACAGTATTCACGAACCGTTGATTGAGAATGCGTCCATATATAAACAACATACCAGTGAAGAAAAAGTGTCTGGAAACTGAAATTTTGAATAACAAGAAGTGACATAAAATGTAATTAAAAAACAATAAGGTCATTTGGTCGACATCAAGTACGTTTACAAAACTTATCAAGCTATTCGAGAAACTAGAAGAAAAGAATAGATGAGAGCTCTTTGAATTTGAATTTCAAATTTATGATGAAGATTTTATCGGTATATCTCTATTGAATTAAGGGATAATAATTTCCGAGATAAGAAATTAATTGGGGTTACTTTCAAGGGTATTTTGAAGTTTAAAAAAAATACTAGACTTAACTACTTATTAGTAAGATTAAAAAGAAACTTATCTCAAAATAAATTTCTTAATGGACTAAACTCATTATAAGTCCCTTAAGGAGGACTTAGCCTCAATTTTTATTTTTTTAAGAGAACAAATCAAGCTATGGCAATAAGCAACATACACTAAAAGTAAGGATTTTTTGGCTGTGGGTACATTTTTTTTAGATTTATTTGAGAAAAAATGTATGGACAAGTTGTTTACTTTATTAAGTTCAATTTTAATAAAACATATTGTGTTTAGGTATAAAATTCAAATGAAATCAAAACTTTTTTACCTAAATATCTTCTCTTAAATTATGCATTCTTTGATTGACAGTTATATATCTAATCAAATATGTAAAAATTTCATTAGACTCTTTCACTATCTCTCCCCTATTTTCTTTCCATCTCTTTCTTTCTGTTATTTTCCCCATCTCTCCTATATTTTCTCTCTATCTATCTTTGACAATTTATTTTCTTTTTTAAATTTTTAAAAATTTGATTTATTTTTTCATCTCTCTCAACATTACAATAACACAATTACACTAAGAGCAATGCTATATGGACTTAAAAATTAGACTTGATAATCTCAACTATTGAATAAGTAGTGGGTCCTAATAAATGCTGGGACCCACAGTGAAACCAATGATTTTAATTGTCAACTCTAGTTTTTAAGTTTACTTTTTAAGTCCATATAGCATTGCTCTTACACTATTTAGTTAAACCAATCAATTACAATTATCTTATAATACACCAAACAGTTACACAAAATTATGACACCAACCCAATTACACAAAATTATGACACCAACCCAATTTGTTATTTAGTTGTTTACATAAACTTAATAGTTGTACCATTTAGTATTGTAACATCGTTACACCAATTATATATACCAAATTTAGTATAATGAAATTATTTTTTGTGTAATGATAAACCCAATTTAGTGTATATAATTGTTGTAATCATGTCGTGATACTAAATAGTGTAATTTTTTGATTTATATAAATATCTAAATGACAAATTGGGTTAATGTTGTAATTTCGTATAATTATTTAGTGTAACTGTTTGGTTTATTAGAACACACGAGTAACTGTTTGATGTATTATAAGGTAATTGTAATTAATTGGTGTAACTAATTAGTGTAATTGTGTTGTTGTAATATTAATATAAGGAGAGAGAAAAAGAAAATAAGGGAGAGAGAGTGAGAGCGAGAAAAAAAATAAGGGACAGAGATGAAAAAAATTAAATCAAATCTTTATATATTTTAAAAAAATAAATTATCTATGTGAAAGAAAGAGAAAGAAATAAATAATGAGAAAATAGTGAAGAGATAGTGACAGAGTAATATAGAGATAAAGGGAGAGAGAGAGAGTAATGAAGTACTAAATGGTTTTTTTGTCTATTTTCAAAAAAAAATGCATTTAGGACTAAAAAAGTTTCTTTAATATAATCTTGCTTAAATAAATTAAAATTTTTGTCCCGACTTTCAAATCACCTTAGAAATAAAGCACGGTGGCCCTAACAGCCCGTCTAATGGGCTACTCACAGTCACGACTGCCACATGGCAAGCTGGGACTGCCCATAGCCCCATGGGCAATCATTTGGCCCGCAGGCTATTTGACGACCTTACATTTTGGGATCAAACTAGGTGATGTTTGTTGAGTGTGATTATCTAATGCAATGGTAAAATATCAAAAGATGTTCTAATCTTGTTAACTTAGCTGGCTGATCAACTACAATGGACCTCCTTGGTATTTTTTTTCCCTGGCTCCCGAAGCGCCATCCTAAGTTTCTAACCACAGACGCAGGTGAACTCTAGATGTACATACTCTCGATTACCAAGAGCAGAGGAAAAAAGGACAAGACTGGAACCTCGAGTTAATAACCCATAAAATCTTCCCAATTTAGCAACCTGATATGTTCATTTTTCGGTACTTATACTACTTGATGACTTCATTCAAAAGCTATAAAATGGGTACAACTATAGCAATTGCTCTTATTTACTTCGGCAATTTTTTTTCAAAATTTTTATAGGAGAAGAGTATCTCTAACCATGACTCAAATTTTTACTCAAATTTAAATTAACATTTAAGTTAAAAGTTTGATTTTATATAAACGGCTCTAATGAATAAACTCAAATTTAAAGAAAGAGAGACTTAAATTTAAATGAGGACAAACTCAAATGTAAATGAGAGTAAAGATGATCATTAGATCTTTAAAAGATGGTAAAATCTCACAATTAAAAATTTGGGTAAAAATTTGAGTCTCTCTTGATTTGAGTAAAAAAATTTGTTTCATTTTATTTGGTATAAGTTTGAGTTAAAAGTTAGATAATTTTTTTTTTGGCTATTTTACTCAAATTTAAATTGTGAAAATTGGGGTTGAGTCTTCCTTAATGGACTTATAATAAGTTAGTCCGTCGAGGAAACTTATTTGAAAATAAGTAATTTTTAATTAGTAAGTAGTTAGTCCACCAACTTTTTAAAACTCTAAAATATATTTCCTTGAAAGCAACTTTAAATTAGTTTCTTAACTTGAGAATTGTTGTCCCATAATTTACTATCAATAAAGATATGCTAATAAATTTTTTTACATAAATTTAAAATTTAAATTCAAAGAACAATTGAGATATATATATATTATTTTTTAATGTTCCATGTTACTGTTCATGCTACCGTTTTTGTTTAACATATTACTATTGTTGTTTTCCCAAATATTAATACTCAATGTTATTATTTTTTTTTTTGTGTTTAAATGTTACTATTTTTTTTGAAATATTACTATATGTATGAGAAAAAAATAAATAATCATATTCTATATATGAATATAAATAGATATGAGATAGAGAATGTTAATATTAGTCAAACTCTTAAAATTTAAGAATTATTAATTTTTAAATTCGTTTTAATTAAACATTATTATTGAAAGTATTTTGGACAGTGAAGATCAAAATAGACTTAATGTTAAACAATCAAATAATTCCACAAAGGTGACTAGCCTCTAAATTTCCCATTTTAATTTGAGTCTAAATTTGAGTCAGGATTACTGATGCCAATGGTTCTATGTCTATTTTCCATAAACTGCTAGTCAATCTTTTTCCCAGGGAAAAAATAATAAAAATTATATTATCACCATCAGAAGAAACTGTAAGCAAAAATTCAACTTCCAGTCATATACATGCTTCAAACTTGAAACATTTACTATATTTCTCTGATTAATTTGACCTGCAAACAAGAAATTTAGATCATAAAAAACAGATTAATCAATTGTAAACCATTAACAGTTATTACAGTCTATGGGGTATAACGGCTAAAGGCCTTTCAATTTCGCTCAATATCCGACAGTATTGATTCATTCTCTCTCCAAATAACACTACCATAACCAAATACCCTCACAAAACAAGAAACCAACTGCTCATGAATCACTTCTTCAGCAGGGAGCGCCATGTCTGTCTCTCTTCTCAGAGATGTAACTTCCTTATCCGCAATCCCACAAGGCACAATATACTTGAAATAACTCAGATCAGGATCAATGTTAAATGCTAATCCATGACAAGTAATCCCTGATGATATTCGAACCCCAATTGCTCCAATTTTTTTCTCTCCAACCCAAACACCCGTCTCACCGATTTGTCCAGCACGAGCTTTTACACCATATGAAGACGCCAATTCAATCATAGTTAACTCGAGCTTCTCTACATACTTCCTGGCACCAATCCCAATCTCCCTCAAAGAAATAATGGGATATAAGATGGCTTGGTGTGGACCATGAAATGTAATATCCCCTCCCCTTTCTGTGTAGTGAAGTTCTGCCCCTATAGTTTTGAGTTCAGCCTCAGTAACCAATAAATTGTGATCAGTTCGCCTTTTGCCAAGGGTATAGGTAGGTGGATGTTGCAGGGAGAGAAGTGTATCAGAAATCCTATGGGTTTTTTTATTGGAGACCAGCTTGTCCTGCAGCTTAAGGGCATCCAGGTAGTTGACGGTGCCCATTTTCCAAACCTCAAGACCTCGAGGAACTCTCATTCCCTGTAAGGCACCATAATCAATGTCACATTCTCACTAAGGTTATGCATCAACTTCAGGTAAATAAGCATCAGGTTAAGAGATCAAAAGGCAACAAAAAGTAAAATATAGCAAATCCTAATGTCAGTGATGTAGTTAGAATATCATATATAATAGAACTAAACATAGACCCGTTCCTAAAGACACTATGTAATAATAAAGAAAAATAGACAATTAGAAAAAATTTAAATCCCTTAAAAAAAGTTGAATCCATATTCGAGACTCAAATTACTTAAAATAATTAAATGTTGCTATTGTAAAGTTTAATTTTGATCTATTGTCTTTTTAAAAAATTGGAAGAATTTTCTCTAAAAATTAGAGCCTAGAAAAAACAATTTCAACACGCATACACAATTAATAATCATGCCCCTAAAAAGCTATCAAATTGGACTTACCATAATGCCATAGTCTTGTGTAAATACAACCATGTACCAACTACCGCAATAAAATAAATGAATTTCACAGTCACAGCGCAAATACAGAACATGACCAATAACAGAAAATGAATTGAATTATAAATAATAGAAAATTAATATATTGAAGCTAAAGTTAGGCCATGTTCAAAAAAAAAAAAAAAACTAAAGTGGGGCACCAAAAATAGCACTCGACACCAAAATCCAAAGAGTAAACTCAGGGGCAGAGCCAGACATCTTCTCCGGTGGGAGCAACAACAATTAAAATTTCAAATGTTCACAAACATATATTTTTATTAATAGAACATCAATTAAAAGTGCAATTCATATACATAAGCGATATACAAAAAAAGTCAACAAAAAAAAAACTTACTATAAATTTATCTATAAGACCTAACAAAAAAATTTTGAATCAAGAAATTGGACTCAATCATATATTGAGTCTATAATGAGAAAATCCAAATTGTCGAGCATCTTATAAATATTCATAGTTGCTCCCAACGAGCTTTTATATTTTGAAAGCGTTGTATTATAATTTCATTATCAATGGTACTTAAAATTTCTTTCTTGATATATATAACCAAACAATTGTTCATCCATTGATCTCTCATTCGATTGCCCAATTAATTTTTTAAAAATTAATTTTTTTGGTCACAAACTTAGTATTCATCGTGAATTTTAACAAACAATAGAAACTAACTTCAACTATGACTATTCTATTAAACTAAACCTAAATATAAGAATTACTTAACCTATCACAATAAAACTATTCAAACCATCAAATCAAAACAAATTAATCTAACACATAATGGAGGATTACACGCCCCAATTTTAATTCAACATATAAGAATAAAACAAAAGAGAGGGCTACAAGCCCCAATTTCAATTCAACATAAAAATAAAACACAAGAGAGGACTACAAACTCCATTATCAATTAAATATATAAAAAAATAAATCATATAAGATGACTACAAACTTCAATTTCATTTCAACATATAAAAATAAATAGAAGACTACAAACCTCAATTTCAATTCAATACATAAAACAATAAAACAGAAAGAGAACTACAAGTCCCATAAATTTTTTAAAATTTTTAGTGGGGGCAAATGTCTAATAAATTCTAAAATTTTTGAAATTATACTTACACTTCACATTTTTTTAAAATTCTACCCCCACTGCCCCCACTGTGGATCCACCTCTTGGTAAACTACGTTGCCAATCACTTGGCACCAAAAACACAAACATCATGAAGCTTACCACTAGAAACAATATTGAAGCCAATATCGAGAAAGTCTTTGTGTTCAAATTACTCCTTCAATGTTCAATGCCTTTAACTAAAACTGCAATCAACAAAAAAGAAAAGGTTTAGAAATAATGTTGGTAATAGAAGTTTCTTTTACTGTCACCCTATAAAATGATGTCATGTAAAGTTTGGTTTTCTTTCTTGCTCACCTTCTCTAAGCAAATTGACAAATCACCTGTTCCAAGTTTGATAACTGAGCTCGAGCCTGAGCTTTGAATTGAGCGTAAACAAGCTTTGATTCAATATTCAGTTAGCATGTCGCTTTGAAGTCACAAACCATATCTTACTGGCAGATTTGACCAAGAAATTAGAGGCAGTTGTTGTATGAAAAACCTGGGGAAGTTATGAATATACCTGCAAAATGGATATAGTGAGGCCAATATGCTATATCCACAATGGTAGTGGAGGTCATTGGCATATATACCACAAAGCATAGGAAAATAACAACAATATAAACGAAGAAATAGATAGGGCCATGCAGAAGACCTCATACATCCTCATTAAAAGTCTAAGATCTCATATTCAATGTCTTTGTGTGTGTTTGTGTGTGCAGAATATATCTGTTTATAGACACTTGGGCTTGCGCTTGGAGCTCCTCATATCTATGTAGCAAGGGCATTCATGCTTGTTCCCATAAATCCCTGAAAAATCATACTTTCACTTTGCACTGCATATCTGACAGTGCTCATATCAATCTCTTCTCACCCAAAAAGATCACATTATTATGGGGAATCAAGAAAACAGAACTCATATAAAAACTTAGATTCTAGAAAAAGAAAATTACCAAGAATCAGAACATCAATTAAAAGATAGCATTTCCCGTATTTTTTTCCCCATTGAAGCAAAACAACAAACACTTTGTGATCATATACAAAACCCAACCATCTAAACCCAACCTCAGCATCAAATGCATACAGTAATTAAAAAAACCAAAACAGAAAGTCTAAGCAAAGTTAAAAATTGTGATAACAAACTCACCAATAATGCCAGAAGAACGTTGACAAACCTTGTCTATTTACCCAAAAAACATTGACAAACCTAAGAGGATTGCTAAGACGTCAGGTCACGCAAGGTAGGTGAAGCCAAGAATCAAGCTGGCGACAATTATCCAACAAGGAATGAACAGCTCCAGCACTTGCGAGCTCAGCTTGATGATGTGATAAACATCAAGCAAGCTCAGGCACCAAATGCATGGGGTACCTCCACCAGCAGAAAAATCAGTTGTTCAAGCCAGAAGTCCAAAGTTTCCCACTTTATGTGTATTTTGTGGGACACCTGAGACCACGTTTTTTTATGGCGATAATCTGGGGGTTTTGGGAGAGATAGAGTTTGTTTAATTTGCATCTCCAAAAATACTATCTAAAATAGTATTGTAGAAGAGTTTTAGAAAATAGTTTTTGAAACGAAGAATTCGTTTAGTTAAATGATTTTAAAAATAATTTTATAAAATAAAAAATAATAAAACCTGCTTAGATAGTTGGTTTAATACAAAATTACTATAAATAATTCGTGCCTAAAAGTATGATACAATTAAAAAAATCAAGTATTAAATTTGGACACAAAATAATTAAGTATTGAACTCGAACGCAAACTAAGTTGAAAATCAAAATTGCTTACTTTAACTCACCTGCACTAAGACATATATCAAGCCAAAACTGCATACCAAGCTTCTTTTTTCTTCATATTAAAGAAAAATTGAAATCAGTGTAGGAAATTTTAAAATTTTTAACAAAGTATTCCATGAAAATATGACATTACAACTATATCAATCTAGCTACAAAATTTCATAATCATACCAACTACCACAACAACATTATAGTAGTTACCAACTACCACCATAACATATCAGTATTCATATTAGATAATGGACCAAGAAAATCATGATAATTAAAACTATCGCACATACATGAAAATTATAAGATTTCATTCATTGCAAACCACACTGATTCTCATAAACTATACCAAACAAAGTCTTCCAATCCAAACAAACTCACTTAGAGTGTCATAAACACTACTAATTCACTTTTCACTCTTTTCATTCTCACGACTTGAATAATGTATTATTCATTAAACAAAAGTAAATACTGCAATCCAGAACCTTTGGTTACCTAGTTTGAAAACTTTTGCAAATAGGGTTCCAAAGAAATGTGATTTCTTTACGACACAGGTACCCGAGTTTGCCTTCAAACCCATTTTAGTGAATTCAAGCGTGCAAAAAGATGAGTTTACGTAAACACCACAATCATTAAAAGACTTATTCCACTAATCATCCACATGATTAACAAATGATTTTCTTTGAAATTTAGAAGTTTAAGGAATCTTTTCTTAAGATATTTTTTTTGACAATTTATGCTTTATTTGGGATACATTCTCTCAATTAAGGTTTATCAGATTTATTGACAAAAGTATGATTTTATAATATTTTCCAATTAGTTGTATTAGATGGTTGTTTTAATGTTTCTTTGTATTTCATTTCTTTGTTGTTGTAGAAAAAAAAGTGACTATTAATCTGAATTTTTCAAAAAACCATAGAAGGGGATCGTCTTGCGTGGTACTTTATTGAACTTTGATCAACTCATGAATTATGAAGGTTATATTATATAGAGTGTTTGTGTGTACATAGCTGCATATATATGTTCATGGTGTTGTTTCTATAAAAGTTAAATTATCTTTTTCTTTATGACTGAATCTATTTAGTAGGAGTAGTGGGGGAAGGATTTTGGGGAATCAATTGGGTTTGATGGTAGAAATTATCTTTTTCTCTGATCTATTTAATTTAAATTTTGTTGAGTATTATCGAAATTGAGAGATTATGTGGATTTGGAATTACATTTCATTTGTTTTTGCTGGAGCTCATATCACAACTTTCAAGGAAGAGAATACTTTTTAATTTCAAGGTAGAGAATACTTTTTGAAAGACTCTAACTTCCAAGCAATCGGATTTTTATTGATTGCTATCATTTTGCACTATCATTAATTCATCTGTGTTTTGTTATGGAATTCATTTATGTTGTGGCGATAGTTGGTAAATGATTTTGTTTTAGTCATGAGTCCTATATATGTTGTGAGTCCGATTTGTTATTTTTGAATCGTGTGTACAGGTTTAAACTTCTTCGGGGTACTAATTTTGGAGGAAATTATGTCCAAAATATTTTGGGGTACTAAGTTAACATTCCCACCTATTCAACTATCGAGGTTGGCTACTGTTGTATTTCTTGAGAGTGATTTTGTTTTCTAGCATATGTTGGCTATCTTTTAGAAACTTGGTGGTGGCGATGTCTTTCATGTAATGATTTTTGTAAGCATTATTGATTTGATGTGAGTTGTGTCATAGGTTCAATTTGATGCGAATTTTGGAATTCAGGATTGCATTTCTTTTGCTTAGATTCGATTGAGTTGTTGCATTTGGGTTTTGATGTAGTGAAGGGCTATGCTAAAATTACATGTTTTCAAGTTTTGGGTTTTTTTTTGTAAAATCCGGTTAAATTTAAACTTTTTGAGAAAAAGGGCAAAACAATAATTTATCACTACGATATGAGTTGTAAACTTGAATTTTTCTAGAACTCAAATGACAAAATGGACCTCACCATTGGATTCGTCTCGAAAAATCTAGTTACCCTGTCAAATTTCATCGAATTTTGAGATAGTCAAATTTTTCGTGTTTTACGAGGCGGTCGAGCCTCGGGTGACCCAAAAACGGAATTTTTAATAAAAATTCAAAATTTGAAAAATAATTTAAGTCAAGTTCAAATAAAAATATTTTGAACTTGAATCGGAACAAAATTTAATCGTTTCAGGACGAAAACGGACCCAAAAAAAGGAGGGTCGTGTGGCACGTTGTGGGCCAAGCAATTAGAGGGTATAAATAGGGGGGAAAACCTGGTTTCTTCCCCATTCTTGATGAATCTTTACACGATAGAAAAGAGAGAGAGATAGAGAGAGAGAGAGAGAGAGAGAGAAAATAGGGTTTTCTCAAGCTTTTGTCTTACGAGCAAGGGCCAAACTTTGGTTGAATAAATGCGGGCCAAGAACAAAAGTCGGTTTCCTCATCGAGGGCTACGCACATGTACCAAAAGCAAGGGCGTTCACTGAAGATTTGAAAAATGAAATTTTTGGAGGCTTGGGTTAGAGCTCGGGTGAAATTCTTGGAACTTCCTAACGTGATTTCATGCTTCAAGAGGTAGGGTTCCCTCCTACTTAGGTTTATTTATAACCTAGGATGCCTATATGAAATGGGTGCATTGATATGATGCTATATCACTTGCCTATTATGGTGGATTTAATGAAAAGGGTATTGGAATTGGGTAGACTAAATTTTACCTTGAATTAGGTATGTGAATTTGACTTAATGTGATTCATGAAAATTGGGTATTATGTGGGCATGTTATGTGTTTATTTTATGCCTTGAGAATTAAGTGTGTTATTAACATATGTTATGCAATAACATGCTTGCGAATTGTTGTTGGAAACAAAATGTTGATATATGTTCATTGGTATATTAGCATTGTGATAAAGTTTGGTGATTATATGCATATGATATAATTGGCCATGGAACATGTTTATATATGAGGTTAAACTTGCTCATGTGACATTCATTACATATGGGCATGACATGGATGGTGCATTACATTGCATTTGCATGGAGGAACCGCGTCCATATCCATGAATGTGGGTGTGTGTATGCATGGTTGATATCAAACACCCAATAGGTGGATGATGGTGGGCTTAGAAAATTTGGCTCGAAGATCCAACTGAGTCGCACGGTGGTATGGATAATGAAATGGATCGGGGTTAGCAAAAAGGGCCAGACTATCCCTCGGGTGAAAGACCTGGTTGATATCAAACACCCAATAGGTTGATATCAAACACCCAATAGGTGGATGATGGTGGGCTTAGAAAATTTGGCTCGAAGATCCAACTGAGTCGCACGGTGGTATGGATAATGAAATGGATCGGGGTTAGCAAAAAGGGCCAGACTATCCCTCGGGTGAAAGACCTGGTAATCGGATAAGCACTCCGTTGGTATAAGAGCCTATAAAGTGTGTCGGTGTACGCAGAACTGTTGGTGGAGGTCCATGAATTCTGTGTCGGTTGGGTGCCGTTGGTGTAAGTCCATAAATACCTACCCTAAGACAGACCCGGAGATTTTTAAATAGTCATTGGGTGTATAACGCTAATAGCGGGGCTGGGAAAGCCTATTTTTATACTCATGACATACATGGGGGAAAAGGAGCTAGGGAGGGCTCAGGTTGAGTTGCATGAGTGAGTCTCATCTCATTTGACATGACATTGCTAAGATTCCAACATTTAATAATATATTCTTGGTTGGGATGTTGTTGGTTGTAAAGTATGGAATGAACATTCATATGCACTTAGGTTGGGAAATAGCCTCAGTAAGAAATACTCTACTGGGCGTGGCTCACCCTATACAGAAAAATATTTCAGGTGCAGGATGTACATCGGTGGAAGACCCTCACATGGGACCCCAAGGGTGAAGAAAGTCAGAATGTGGCTTTATTTTGAGTTTTGTAAAACAATTATGAAATTTCTATTCTGGTATGTAAATACATTAAATTGAATGTAATGGAACTTGTATGGACCTTGTATTATATGAAAAACTTCATTATACATGAGTTGGATGGAAATAATATACTTACGAATGAGTTGAAATTGAAAAACAGGTGAAATAGGCAAAAGTGGACAAAGTATACTGGTACGATGAGATCTAGTGGGTTACCCATACCGGTACAAATTTTTCAGTGGGTTACTCGTACTGGTATAGATTTTACAATGAGTTACCCGTATTGGTACAAATTTTACAGTGGGTTACCCGTACCAGTACAGCCTTGTCCAAAAGGCAGAGCGTACCGGTATACCATACCGGTACGGATTTTCCAGAAGGCTTACCGTACCGTTACACTTTCCAAAATTTTGAAAATTTATAATTTCTTTGCCTAGCCTTTGGGTTATGGGTTCTTTGGTTCCCAAAATATAAATAGACTATAATGGAGCATGAAAAGTGGTACATTGGGCCACGATTAGATTAAAGGATAAAATGCACATAGGTTACACGTGTCAGTTGTAATCCCGATTAAGGGGACGTTATTGATGTGACGTCGAGTTGTACGACAACAAGGGTATTTCCGAGGATTGACGGATGGTCAACGGTTGACCAATGACCCCCGGTTTTAGGGGTGTCACATTTTCTCTTGAAGTTGATTTCTCTTTAGGTTATTGAATGAATCACCAACTACATGCACTTCATTGGACTTATTCTTGATAACGATTGTAGTTGGTATGCAAAGAG